AAAATTAAAAGCATAAAGTAAGGTGATAAAAATAAGACCATATACTCCATTTTCACAAAAAAAATTATAATCTTTTAAACCACCCTCTTAAAAAGGCAAAGAGACTTTTATAAATAGAAGTTAGTTACATGCTGCATATAACGACAAACCCAAAATCCAGTGACTCAAAGGTTAAAAATACTGCGGTATACATAAAGGTAATCCACAAAATCACAAGCAAAAGAAAACAACGGTGACTGTATTAATAGCAGATAAAAAAGTATTCAAGACAAAGAAACACTGACCAGGATAAAGAATATAATTTTGTGTGACTAAATCAATAATGCAACATACAACTTGTGAATCTTTCTGTAGAAAATAATAACAGCAAAGTAAATTAAGGAAAGCTTGATTATAACTGGAGACTAATATATCATCACTCTTATACTATATGACATATCAAGAATTTATATGTATATACACACATAGATACACATAGAAATGTTCTCTAAAAGAAACTCTTTTGTTTTAAACATTCATGGATGATTTACTGAAATTGATTATATAAACTATTCCACCAAGAAATCTCAATAAATTCCAAAAAGTAGAAACAATTTAATCTACACCTCTTTTTAAATTACAAAAAAAAAAAAATTTCTTTTTAATTCTCACCCAAGGATATGTTTATTGATTTTAGAGAGAGAAAGGGAAAGAGAGAAGGAGGGAAAATGAGAGAGAGAGAGAGAGAGAAACATCAATTTGTTGCCTCCTATACATGCCCCAACCAGGAATCAAACACACAACCTTTTTTTTTTAATCCTCACCTGAAGACACTTTTGCATTCATCTTCAGATAGAGAGAGAGGGAGAGAGGGAGAAAAAGAGAGAGAGAAACATCGATGTGAGAGAGACACATTGACTGGCTGCCACCCACACAACCCCAACTAGGGCCAGGGACAACTGCAACAGAGGTACGTGCCCTTAGCGAAACTGAACCGGGGTCTGTCTGGACTGTGGGCCAACACTCTAACCACTGAGTCAAACCAGTCAGAGTGCAGCCTTTTTGGTATGAGGGATGACACCAACCAGCTGAACCACCCGGCCCAGGTTCTATCTACAATTCTTGACCACAAAATGCAAAGCTGGAAATTAAAAACAGAAGCTTAATAAAAGAATCTTTAGCCACTTGGAATAAAAAATTTCTCTTCTAGATAACTATTGGGCTAAAGAGAAAAATCTAATATACAACAATTTGTTTAGAAAATGAGAACAAGACTTAATCAAATCTTACAAGCTTTTTCTAAATTCTTATTTAGAGGTAATTGCATAGTCCTACTTTTTATTATAAAAGGAGATAAATCAATTCAGTCATATAAATTAAAAGTTTAAAAAGATATCTGTATCTCATACCCAAGACTGAAAATAATCATTCAGAAAATAAAATGAGGAAATATAATCAGAAAAGATACCATGCACAATGGCAACTAAAAAGATACCTAGGAATAACTTCCATAAAATTATCCATATAAATAAAATAAAATTTTATTCTGACATCTAAAAACATCTGAAAAAAAAATTGAAATATACTATGTTCCAGATAGGGAAACTAAATATTTTAAAAATATAAATTAGTTCTTAATTTATTTTATCTTAAATTATTGGCATATGGGCAAATTTCTAAAAACTGGACCTTCAAAAATTATGCATGTAAATGTACATATAATTGCTGTATATTTGTAACCTTACTATTTTACATTTACTATTTTGCAGATATAAAAGATGTGTACCACACAACTTACAAATAATAACAAAATACACAATACTCCCTATTGTAAATTTCATGTAACCAATCAATTCTCACACAATGCTTTCATTGACTTTTGCCTAACTCATTAATATAAATAGTACTTTGTCTTCTCCTATATGCTCAAAGGAAAAATAAAATCTGTCACTCTGCTGAATTTCTAGTTTTCACCCAAAAATAAAAATAAAGTGTGAAAAATTGAGAAATTGGTATAATTCCAATAGAAATATTTTTATTTACATTTATGAGTAAGACAAACATGACACAACAAAGATGGGTATCCAGACTTCACTCATACATTAATGATGTGACCTCTTTGCTAAATCAGAAAACAGTTTTCAAGTATAAAAAAAAAAAAGCTTTCTCAGTTCTTTGTCTTCCTTTTGTTGAGTTGTATGAGCACTCTCTATATATTGGAAATTATTAACCCCTTATCTGATATATCATTGGCAATTAGGCTCTCTCATACAGTGGGTTGCCTTTCCGTTTTGATGATTGTATCTTCCGCTGTGCAGAAGCTTTTGAGTTTGATGTAGTCCCATGTGTTCATTTTCTCCTTTATTTCTATTGCCTTAGGTGATGTATCAGTGAAAATTCTGCTCCTTATGATGTCTGAAATTTTGTTCCCTACAGTTTCTTCTAAGATTTTTATGGATTCATGAGTCACATTTATGTCTTTTATCCATTTTGAGTTTATTCTTGTGTAGGGTGTAAGTTGATGGTCTAGTTTCATTTTTCTGCAAGTAGCTGTCCAATTTTCCCAGCACCATTTATTAAAGAGGCTGTCCTTACTCCACTGTATGTTCTTGCCACCTTTGTCAAATATTAATTGAGCATATTGCCTTGGGTCCATTTCTGGGTTCTCTGTTCTGTTCCACTGGTCTATATGCCTATTCTTGTGCCAGTACCAGGCTATTTTGATTACGGTGGCTTTGTAGTATAAGCTGAAATCTGGTAATGTGATCCCTCCAACTTTGTTCTTTGTTTTGAAGATTGCTGTGGCTATTCGAGGTCTTTTTTGGTTTTATATGAACTTTTGAAGTACTTGTTCTAATTCTGTGAAGTATGCTGTTGGTATTTTGATGGGGATTGCACTGAATCTATAGATTGCTTTGGGTAGTATGGACATTTTAATGATGTTAATTCTTCCAATCCATGAGTAGGGTATGTGCTTCCACTTTTTTATATCTTCCTCTATTTCTTTTTTCAATGTCCTGTAGTTTTCTGCGAATAGGTCCTTTATTTCTTTGGTTAAGTTTATTCCTAGGTATCTTAATTTTTTTGCCGCGATGGTAAATGGGTTTGTTTTTTCAGTTTCTCTTTCTGTGAGTTCATCATTGGCAGAGGAACTAAATAGACACCTCTTCAAACAGGACATACAAATAGCTAAGAGACATATGAGGAAATGCTCAACATCACTAATCATCAGAGAGATGCAAATTAAAACAACAATGAGGTATCACCTCACACCTGTCAGAATGGCCGCCATCAACAAATCATCAAACAACAAGTGTTGGCGAGGGTGTGGAGAAAAGGGGACTCTGGTACACTGCTGGTGGGAATGCAGACTGGTGCAGCCACTATGGAAAAGACTATGGTGTTACCTCAAAAATTTAAAAATTGAACTGCCATTCAACCTAGTGATTTCACTTCTAGGATTATACCCTAAGAAGCCTGAAACACCAATAGGAAAGAATATATGTACCCCCCTGTTTGTAGCAGCACTATTTACAATAGCTAAGATCTGGAAACAGCCCAAGTGTCCATCAGTAGACAAATGCTGTGGTACATATACACAATGGAGTACTACACAGCTATAAGAAAGATCTCTTATCCTTTGAGACACCATGGAGGGACCTGGAAAGTATTATCCTAAACGAAACAAGCCAAACAGAGAAAGACAAGTATCATATGATCTAATTTATTTGTGGAATATAATGAACATAACAGTCTGAGGAATGGGGTAGTCCCAGAAACATGGAAGTGGGGTACAGACTGACAATCCCCAGAAGAGGGGGTGGTGGGGGAGAGATAAACCAAAGAACTTATATGCATGTATGCATGAACAATGGGCATGGACAACAAAGCTGGGGACAGGGCAGGGAGGGAGGAGGGGGGGGGAATCAGTGGTGGAAAAAGGAGAAACATCTGTAACAAAAATAAATGAATAAAAAAAAAGCTTTCTCAATTTTTTGTGCTATTAACAATGTTGCAGCTATAGACATGACACACTTTTACATTTAATCTGCTTTATTAATCGTTTTCCCATAATTTTCTCAAGTTTATACAATCAACAAAAAAATAAATAAAGCCCTCATTTGGATTGTTTGCCATATTCCATTGTGTAGTATCCTTTCATTTGGGCTGATTTCAAGCTTCCAATGAAAGGTTTACCACTATTTTTAGGCTTGCACATTTCCATAAAATGGTTAGAGACAGAAGATAAGGAGAATTACCACCTAGAATTTTTTATTTAAGCTCTTCTAAATGTCTTGCTGTTATTTTTTAAAGAATCTCAAAAAAGTTTTATTCTCAAAAATGGTTTACTTTATTCTTTCACAATAGTTTGAAAGTGTTTTTTTAATCTCTCTCAATATGATCATATGATCTTCTTAGTGTTTCCTTGATGAAAATAAAGAATAATTGAATGACATAATTTGTGATAAATTTGAATATTCTGTCAACTCTTAGTGATGATGTCTTGTACTCTTCTGCTCCTTCCTCCAAGGAAGTGCTGGCTTAGAAGCAACATTTGTGTCTCGGGCTGTCAACAGTCCATATGTCAAAAAGCAACCAGTATCAGGTGGCAGGGGTCCCAGCAGTTCACCAGAGCATGGCAACAGGGAATCTGGGACGCAGTGCTCAAAGTACAAGGTATTCTGTTGTAGAGAAGTCCCAGACACTGGACTGAAATTTGGGCCCGGCTTCAATGCCCAGGAAGGGGGACCAGAAAGAGACAGCCTAACTCAAACTATTGGGCACATCGCTGCAAACATGGCACAGAAATGTGGGTAAAGCAAAAGATCTAAGCACCCCCAAGCATGGAGAGGATAGGTACCAGCTTGGGGACTTGAAAACTGCAATCCTGCTGTCAACATAGTGGTGCCACAGTCATGAGATGTTGGTAAAAGGAGCATTGCCTTTGAGGAATGCTAAAGTGAGCCAGAGCCCAGAGGCACATAATTATTTTCCGTGTAATACAAATAAAACATAAGTACCTTGGTAGGAGTCGCATCGTCCTGTTGGTGATAGTTGTATTAGACAGATTGAGAAACAAGACTCCAGGACAGCCCTCAGAGATGTGCCTCATTGATTCATCCTGCATAAAAACGGAGAGAAGAATCTATCAAAGCCTGACAGGTTTTGTTATTCTGTCATCTCTCTCTCTCTGCTCCAGAAATATATATGCATGACTTGGTCTCTTCATATGCTTTGATATTAGTAGTAAGTCAAATTAAATAGAAGGGTCTGGCCAGTGTAGCTCAGTGGTTGAGCGTCGACCCCTGCACCAAGAGGTCGCCAGTTCCATTCCTGGTCAGGGCACATGCCCAGGTTGTGGGCCAGGTCCCCAGTGGGGAGCATGCAGGAGGCAGCCAATTGATGATCTTTCTCATCAATGTTTCCATCTCTCTCATCCTCTCACTTCCTCGCTCTCTAATATCAATAAAGGGGAAAAAATTAAATAGAAAATATTGGTTTTGCTTGAAACTCCATCACTTCCGCCTTCTCCCCTTATTTGGAAATAAAGTTCAATTGCCTCAAATAACACTACATTAAAATGTGTATCCTTACAAGTTCAACTCTGTGACAGGTCATTCGACCTCGAGTGTTAAAATGTCAAACACTCCTGACTCTTCAGATGCATAAAAGTGATTAAAAATGAATCAATTTTTTAAACTTACTGAAATTATTATGGGGGAAGAGTAAATGCTCTCAACTAAACTTCATTAAGAGTGAATTCAGGTCATTAAAATGCCCATACTACCCAAAACAATCTATAGATTCAATGCAATCCCCATCAGAATACCAACAACATGCTTCACAAAACTAGAACAAATACTTCAAAAGTTCATATGGAACCCCAAAAGACCCGGAATAACCACAGAAATCTTGAATAAGAAGGGCAAAGTAGGCAGGATCACAATACCGGATATCAGGTTACACTACAAAGCTACTGTAATCAAAACAGCCTGGTACTGGCACAAGAACAGGCACAAGGATCAATGGAATAGAACAGAGAACCCAGAAATGAACCCAAAATATTATGCTCAATTAATATTTGACAAAGGTGGCAAGAGCATACAATGAAGTAAAGACAGCCTCTTTAATAAATGGTGTTGGGAAAATTGGACAGCTACATGCAAAAAAATGAAACTAGACCATCAACTTACACCCTACACAAGAATAAACTCAAAATGGATAAAAGAATTAAAAGTGACTCATGAATTCATAAAAATCCTAGAAGAAAATCTAGGCAACAAAATTTCAGACATCATACACAGCAAAATTTTCACTGATACATCACCTAAGGCAACAGAAACAAAGGAGAAAATGAACACATGGGACTACATCAAACTCAAAAGCTTCTGCACAGCAAAAGAAACAACCACCAAAATAGAAAAGCAACCCACTCTATGGGAGAGCATAATTGCCAATGATACATCAGATAAGGGATTAATTTCCAAAATAAATAGAGTGTCCACACAGCTCAACAAAAGGAAGACAAAGAACCTAAGTAAAAAATGGGCAGAGGAACCAAATAGACACCTCTCCAGATAGGACATACAAATGGCCAAGAGACATATGAAGAAATGCTCATCACTAATCATCAGAGAGATGCAAATTAAAACAACAATGAGGTATCACCCTCACACCTGTCAAAACGGCCGCCATCAACAAATCATCAAACAACAAGTGTTGACAAGGGTGTGTAGAAATAGGGACTCTAGTACACTGCTGGTGGGAATGCAGACTGGTACAGCCACTGTGGAAAACAATATGGTGTTACCTCAAAAAATTAAAAACTGAACTTCCACTTGACCAAGTGATCCCACTTCTAGGAATATACCCTAAGAAGCCTGAAACACCAATCAGAAAGAATATATGTACCCCCGTGTTCATAGCAGCACTATTTACAACAACTAAGATCTGGAAACAGCCCAAATGTCCATCAGTAAACAAATGCTGTGGTACATATACACAATGGAGTACTATGCAACTGTAAGAAAGAAAGATCTCTTATCCTTTGAGACGACATGGAGGGACCTGGAAAGTATTATCCTAAACAAAACAAGCCAAACAGAGAAAGACAAGTATCATATAATCTAATTTATTTGTGGAATATAATGAACATAACAGTCTGAAGAACAGGGTAGTCCCAGAGACATGGAAGTAGGGTACAGACCGACAATCCCCAGAAGAGGGGGTGGCAGGGGGAGAGATAAACCACAGAACTTATGTGCATGTATGCATGACCAATCAACATGGACAACAAAGCTGGGGACAGGGCAGGGAGGGAGGGGGAGGAGGGTGTCAAGAGGGAAAAAGGAGAAATATCTGTAACAAAAATAAATGTATAAATAAATAAAATTTAAAAATGGTGAGTCCATTTTTACACATCTGTATTTACATATAGTTGTGTGTATGTGAGTGTAATTAAGTTTCTGTGGTTCTGTTACTGAATATATTAAAACAGCTAAACAGATATGCACCAAATTTAAGGCAAGTTTGAGATGGCCTAAAGTAAAACATAGGCTACACACATGTTGAATATGAAATTCAGTGTTGGGGGTGCTATGGGGGAGAATCTCAAAGATTCAAGCAACCTACGCCCAGCGATTTCAAGCATGAGCCCTAAATGGACATTTACAAGACCAGAGGAACTGCACGCTTTGATCGCAATGGAGCTGCTTCTTATACTGGTAACTACTTATGAAAGCTCTAGAATGAGTAGCTGCAAGTTTTTATTTATTTAATGATGGTTGATGAGTCTCCCCAGGAAAACTGAGGCGGTCAGCTAGTTTTAAATATTTCTGGTACATTGGTTCTGGAAAGAATAGGCCGTTGCAGGAAGAAGTAAATTGTCACTTGGCTAGGAGATGTGGTTTGGGGAAGAATTCTGCATGGCCAATATGGTCACCCTGAACACCACTAAGGATGGCAAAGGTTTATATTCAGCAGGATCATCAGTGTTTAACATTCTATTCCTAGTTATTTCCTGGAGTTGTAGATATTAAAATAACAAAACTCTGCAGGTCAAGGTTCTGTCACATGGGATAGGAACTGGTTGATTTACAGGGGCAGCAAACCACACCTTAAAAAAGATCCAAGGTGGTTGTTTTTTAGGTTGTAAACTGTAGTTCTGCTGCAGGAAAGGTTCCGTGTGCCAATGCCGCAGGAGTACAAGGGCAGGGCTGTCCATAAATACTATACTCTTGCCACTGCTTTGCAGCTGCCTGCAGTTTTTCTAGATACCCCCCACCAAAATGTAGAATTTGGAGTTATATAAAAATTACAATATAAGTTTTTCTAGAATAAATGGAGAGAACAACCATAATGTATGGCATTGTTTGTAGTTTAATACAAGCAAAATCTATCTGCAAAAATATTCATGAAGCCAATCAAATATCAAAGTGATTGTGAGCTTTCAGAAGACTGGCAAAGATGCAGCTGGGACAAGCGGAGAGAAAGCTGGTTTATACACCAATAGGGAGGGAACCACAGGGAAAATGAAAATTCAGGGGCCAGGAAAAGGAAAGTAGAATATATTTTATGTATCAGAGGAATCTGATTTTGCCTGTGATATGAGGAAGCAAACCATACTCTGCATTTTTCTGTTTGGAAAACACTCAAATGAATCCTCTTCTCAATATTTAAAATAAGTCAAGGTTCAACCCCCAAATTAGAACACATAAATGCAAAAACTGTTTGAGTGTCCACATTGCAGAATGGCTTATAAATTTATCCACAATGCACTCAAATATTTCTGAAGGTAATATATTCATAAGGCAAGCTCCTTAGAAATCAAAGCTTTTTGAATGAATGGCACTCAACTCCTTAAACTTGTCCAAGTCTATGTCTCAAAGGGGAAAACAATAGTAAAATGTAGCTGGATAAAATGATCCTCCCTGTATATTATTAGACTCCAGCATTGGAACATATTTTGATGTTTGCAAATTCAATGCAGATGGCATTGTTTTGACTTTCCTTTTAGAAAGCCAAATTTAAAGAATATGATCTTTTATTCAACTGCAGAACTGAATGTTGAAGACAAGAACACTTGATTCATTTTTAAATCCTGTAACACCTTTATTAAATAACATAAATTCCCTATATATCTTTATATAGAGAGATAAATATATCATTAACATAGTAGTATAAAAATATACTAAGAATGAAACAAAGTAGATTTTGAAAGAAAAAATGATAATAATGAGACTGGGGAGGCAGCAAGGAAGAGCTGATATATGAAGTCTCTTCACCTGTGCAGAGGGGCATGGACTTCATCCTGGACCTGGTGCTTACTGAGGGTATCACACAATCAGGCCCTTCATTCTAGTCCCTCTGATCTCCTTAGGGACTGGCTTTCATTTGTTGTTTCAAGTGAGTCTCTGCCAACTTCTATAAACCTGAAACAGGTTTCCCTGCCACCCCCTTAGCCACTTTTCTGGAACCATAGGTTTACACCTAAAACCTCATTTTCTCATCTGGTATCTACTTCACAATTCACTTCAGTTAGATTTCTGCCCCGATATGCTACGGAAACTTCTGGCAAAAGTCACTGTAACCTTCTAATTCTCAAATCCAGGCGGCCACTGCTCAGTCCTTTTCTCTCCTGCTCACTTTGGTAACTTCCTTCTGAAACTCTTTGTTCTCTTGCCTTTTGTGATACCTCTCTGTTCTCAACCTACTTCTCTTATATTCCTTCTTAAGATCATTTGATATTTCTTTTCTGGCTGATCCTAAAAGTAAGCATTCCCCAAGGTTCAATTCTAAGTTCTCTTCCATTCCTTCTCTCTCTCTTGAACTTATTTATTTTTTAAAATGTTAATTATGACATATATAGACGTAACCCAAGATAGAAGCTCAAGTTCTAGTTAATGTTGCCCATTACCTACTAGGTATCTCCATATAGTTTCAGTCATTAAACATGTGCAGGGTGGAACAAAAGTAAGTTTGCAGTTGTTCATTTGAAAAAATAATACAATGATTAATAAATAATAATATAAGAATACACTCTGTTTTGCATACTCAAAACTGCAAACCTACTTCTGCGCCCCCCTCCCCTGTTGCTTATTTACTAAGCAAGGTCTGTGCTCTGGGCTATGACTACCACAAAAAAATGAGATACATCTCCCTTTGGGCCTCAGGCTAGTGGAGGAGGAAGAACCACTGTGATTAGGGCTACTTATGACAGGAACCCAGGGAGCAACAGCAATCCCCTCCCTGGGAGTCAGTGATGTCTTGGGAAAGAAGGTAGGGCCTTTAGGCCTCCCAGAGAGGAAAGCAGCACCTGAGGACCAAGGGAGGGAGTATTCCAAGGGAGGAGCACAGCCTGAGCAAAGGTAAAACAGCAGGAAGCAGTTTGGCAAACCAGCTCAGAAAGCAGCGCAGCTTGTGTTTGCTCAAACAATGTGTATGCAGGGTTTGGAGCAAGAAAGGGAGGCAGGGGCATGGCCACAGGGGATCTCCAAGGTACTGTGATTTTAAAGAGCTTTGACTTTATCCCATAGTGTAGATGATGAATGTGTATATAAATGATGGAAGTGAAACGGTCAGATCTGCCTTTTAGAGAGAGTATCAATGTGCTCACAGGGTGGGAGACAGGCTGGAGGTAGAGGAAGGCCTGGGGACAGACCAGGAAGGAGGTGTCTAGGGTTACATGTTCTCTTCCGTCTTCTTTGGCTCTGCCACCTTGAAGACCATGAAAATGAACCTATTGTTTCTGCTGGGTCCCAATTTTTCGGTCTCATATATACATGGTCTTAAATATAGTTCATGTTTTGGAAGTAGGGAACAGACTGACAAACCTCAGAGGAAAAAGGAGGGGGGGGGGCGGGAAGAGATAAACAAAGAACTTATATGCATATATGCACAGCCAATGGACACAGACAGCAGTGTGGGGAAAGCGGGGTGGGGTTGGGGTAGATGCTCTTCTCTCAAAGGCTGAGATTCTTCATCAAAGGCTGAAAATGGAAATGGGTTAATGAGAGGATTAGATGAGTTAATGCACTTTGTATAGTTCTTGGAGCATTTTCTGCATTGAATAGATGGCAACTATTATTATTTTTGGTCCATTGCTAAGTGCTCTCTGGATGTTGTCCTTATGTTTGGTTCCACTGGTTTGGGCCATAATAATAATGTTAATAATGAAATAACAGAAAGCAATGTTTATTGAGCATTTATGATGTGTCATGTATTGTACTAAATGCTCTAAATAAAATGTTCACAAAAGCTGTACAAAGCAGTTTAAGGAACTTGTAAAAATCACATTGCTAAGAAAAGGTGCTAAAATTTGATTAGATCCAAGCAAGCATAATACTTATTTTAACAGACATCTAAGTAATGTCCTTTGGGTGCCTGCTCTCATGTATGCTATATTCCAAATAGCCTGACCACACTCCGGAGAACCCATTGATATCTTTCTTTACCCTGTGTCTGGACCATAAAGTCCTATGATGCACTTTCTATTTCACTGGGTAATATTTAGGCTATAAGTAATTTATTTAAGTAACTTTACCCAGATTTTGTTCAAATGCACAAACACTCCTTAAAACTTTCTGACAGGCAGCAAAGAGAAGATTTTTATCTAGACGATAAATAAAATGGAAAAATAACAGAAAAAATACATATAGTTCATGTTTGTGTAATTGTTAAATTGTTTCCACTTTCCAAAGACTCCAACCTTAGACATACATCTACAGGATTAATAACAGCATTATATAAATGGGATAAAATTTCTTGCCAATGTTTAACATAGTTTGCTTTTTTCCATATTTAATCCTTAATGAGCACACAGGCATGTATTTTGGCAAAACCTCTGTATATTAGCATTCCAACGTAGCAAGTCCAAATCTATGTAAACAACAGTAAAATAAGCTTCTTATACTCACGGTGAGTGTTGGGCAGTCAGAGACATTCAGCTCTTGCAAATTTTTACAGAGGCCTAAATTAAACAAGTGACACATCATTAAACAACATATTACAAATGTTTAAACTTAAAGTTTTTCCATCCTACATTCAATGTGATGTATTCATTAGAAAACAAACAAAAACCTCGGCAAGTCTTATTCTAAGTATTGGTTTCTTTTCCCAGAAAAACAATTTCTTTTGGCCTTAAAATTAAAATATATATACATGTTTATTATTGTTTGAGGATTACAGAAGGAAGCAGAAAAGAGAAAAATACTACTTTAGGGAAAACATATATATTTAGAGCTTTTAGCTTCAAAGCACTTGAAGAAAACCAACCTGCTTTTTTGTGGCATGACTTTTTGTTCGTTTTGTTTGTTTCCTGTTTCCTTTTAACATTTTATTATGAAAATTTTCAAATATACAAAAAAGTTGAGAGAACCAAAGAATGATACAATGAATATAGCCACCACCTAGATTGTACAATTTATATCTTATTGTATTTACTTTATCACATATCCACTTGTACATCTCTCTATCCCTCAATCATCTTATTTTTTATGCATTTTAAAGTAAGTTGCAGACATCAATATACTTCCCCCAAATACTTCAGCATACATATCATAAATAATTCAGCAAGCATAACAATGAACAAAACAGTTACAATTTTTTTAGGTTAGATTTACATACAATTTGCAAAGAATTGCAGTTAGAGAAGTGGAGGGTTAGAAAGGTCAATTGCCCAATTAGCTCTGGGACCAGAGGCAACTGCGCACACAAAGGGTGAGATGGCAGAGTCATGCACAGTGAGCACTCTGGGCCTACAGGAAGTAATCCAAGTCTGAGATGAAAGAGAAGCAGTGAGGAGCAGGAACACAGTGGGTGGGAGGAATATGTGAGAAAAAGAAGAGGGGAGGCATCCTAGGTGAAGGAGACCCCATCGAGACGGAAAACTCTAGGCTAGGGAGTGATGCTGGATTCACACTGCTATTGTGAAAACACATCTGCCATCCCTAATCACATGGCCCATGGTAACAACAACAAAAATGTTATTAATTATAAATCCATTCTGAATACTTCTTCCTCTACCAAGAATAGACTATGTTCTAAGTAATAAATGCAAACCAAAATCACTTTCAGGATTAAAAAATGGAAACAATTCTTTAAAATGTACAGATCTTGGAAGTCATCAATAATACTTGTTAAGGAAAAAATACATTGCCCCCAAAATACAATAACTAAGTTTGAGATTTATATATATATATTTTCTAATAGACAAGGAGGGGGAGAGACAGAAACATTGATATGAAAGAGATACATCGACTGGTTGCCCCCCACATGACCCCAACCAGAACCAGGAAGAAACAAAACCGAGGCACGTGCCCTTGACTGGAATTGAACCTGAGACTCATTGGTTCGTGGGCAGATGCTCTAATTGCTGAGCCAAACTGGTCAGGGTGAGATTAATATTTCTATAGAATAATGACTTGAGAGTAATTCATGCATTCAACAGATTTTGATCAAAGACCTGCTTTGGGCCAGACATTCTACAGGTGCCAGAAATACAGCAGTGAACAAAATAGAGAAGTCTTCGCCCTCGTGGGGTTTACATCCTAGTTTGCAGGGGCGGGGACTGACAGTAAACAAAAGAAGTTAAATATCTACTTTGACAGATGGTGATAAGTGTTCTGGACAAAAAATAAAACAAGAAAGGGTGGAGAGCAGCCTGGGAATGAGAAAGGGTGTGACCTCCAATACAGCAGAGTCCTCACTGAGAAGGTGACCGTTGAGCCAGCTCTGCAGATGACACGAACAGTTGCAGTTCAGTTTACCCTGAGCTTTTATGGAGTCTATATTCAACACGAGTGGTGATTGGGAGATCGTAAATAAAAGAAAAAAAAAGCGCAGGAAGACAGCCACTGGAGTTTTCTGTTTGCACATCTCAAGGCTGCAAGGAGAAGCCCTTTAATGCTGGAAGCCAATGTGATGATAAACTACAGGTTTCAGTTCTCACAGTGCTAAGCCCTGATATTGTGAAGTACTTCCTGGGGACCAGGCACTGTGAAGTGTCTTCCACACAAGAGCCCATTTCATTCTCTCAACAATACGAGAAGTGTCATCAGTCCCATTTTACAGATGCAGAAGATGAGGTGAAATAATTGCCCTGAGGGTCCAGAGTTAAGCAATTAGGAGAGCTTTGATTCAAACTCAGAGCCCAAATATTTAGCCACTAAACAGTACAATTATACACCACTGTCCTGCATGTGCCTTTATTCTCTGGAATGCCTTTGCTTTAAAAATAACAGACAAATAAAACTGATATTATCTGTGAATAACAGTGCTCACAATAGTCCTTAACAAAATTTTTTTTCTTTTCTCCTGCAACCTAGGGACTCCACCATACCTCAGCTGGATCTCATTGTTCCTGATCTGCCTTAGTTAAGATTACCCAAACTTGGATTTCAAAGGAATACTTTCCTTGTTCCATCTGTCTCACTAAGTAATTGGGGCCAGGTGGATGTCAGGATGCATGTGGTTACCATGGTAATCCTGCTTTTCTTTTGCAAAGCCACTGAGCTGCGCAAGGCAAACCCTGGGGGTGTGAGAACCCAAGAGAATCCTGGCCGGGTGGGTGGGGGCCGGAGAGGCTCCCACCCTGTCAAACGCTACGCACCGGGCCTCCCCTGCGAAGTGTACACATATCTTCATGAGAAGTACTTAGATTGTCAAGAAAGAAAACTAGTTTATGTGCTGCCCGGCTGGTCTCACGATTTGCTGCACATGTTGTTAGCAAGAAACAAGATCCGCATATTGAAGAACAATATGTTTTCCAAGTTCACAAAGCTGAAAAGCTTGGATCTGCAGCAGAATGAGATCTCCAAAATTGAGACTGAGGCTTTCTTCGGTTTAAACAAACTCACCACTCTCTTACTGCAGCATAACCAGATCAAAGTCTTGACAGAAGAAGTGTTCATTTATACACCTCGCCTGAGCTACCTGCGTCTTTATGACAACCCCTGGAGCTGTACTTGTGACACAGAGACGCTTATTTCAATGTTACAGATTCCAAAGAACAGGAATTTGGGGAACTACGCCAAGTGTGAAAGCCCACAAGAACTAAAAAATAAAAAACTGCGGCAGATAAAATCTGAAGAGTTGTGTAATGAAGAAGAAAAAGAACAATTGGACCCAAAACCCCAAGTATCAGGGAGGCCCCCAGTCATCAAGCCTGAGGTGGACTCTTCTCTTTGCCACATTTACCTGTTTCCCATACAAACACTGGACTGCAAAAGAAAAGGTAAGTTTGTTTTTTACATTAATTTCAGAGAGAGGAAGATGAGAGAAAGAGAGAGACACATTGATGTGAGAAACATCGATCGGTTGCCTCCCAAACGTGCCGGACTGGGGAATAAACCTGAAACCTGGACATGTGCCCTGACTGGGAATCTGAACCTGCCACCTTTTGGTGTATAGGACAAGGCTCCAACCAACCGAGCCACACTGGCCAGGGTGTGTAAGTTTCTTACTTTTTCATTTTCATAGATGGTTTAAAATGTTCTTTGAATCTTATAACTCATTTCTGCACCCAGCCATGCCTTGGAATTTCTGGTGTAACTACCTCCAGAAATCTTTCTCTAATGGCAATGGAATTTACTCCATGCTTTTCTGGAGTCCAAACTCAAGATGGTTGGTGATTTAGGGGACACAGAGGAGGGAAGGAGGGACAGCAATCTGGGTCCTACTCTTATTCACTCATTGCAAGGTGTGGCTGTTAGGAATTCCATTAATCTTAAATCTAATGTAATTTAATTTATATAGACACGAGTAGGTAGGAAAGCAAGTGGAAAATGCTGTCCACATAATCTGACTTTCCCCGAGTCAAGTCAGAACATGGTGTGCATCTGTGGGGAACGAGACCCTCAAGGAAAGCCGGGTGCAGAACAGGACAAGTGAGAGCACAGGCGGAGGGAGGCAGGCGGGTGCAGTGATGGAGTCGGAGCGTTCAGTCTGAAGGTTTAATAAGCACTTGCTAACACCTTGTATCTTAATTGTCCCCAAGTTACCCAAAATAAAACACAAAAATATCGCGGGAAAAAACTAAATTGAAAGTATTCAATCCAAGAACTATGAGACTAAGGGAATCTTTCCAGAATATTACCTACTTCCTGAATACCATTACTCGGTTTTATATCCCACACAGTCTTGGGCTAGTACTGTGTAGGATTTGCATATACAGGATAAATTCGTAAAATAAAACAGAAGGGAGGCTTGAGTATTTCTCTGAACATGTTAGTGAAGACATTCTCGAAGTGTGGTCTGGGAACCTCTAATCTACCCTGCGGTAACAAGCCACAGGACAGTGTCTGTTCCATTTATGGCATAGATTAATAACTTCTTTGTAAAACTAAATTAAAGCCAGATATCATTGAATTAGGGTCTTGTGGGGCATGGTATCATTCCTTTCACTTATTTTGGAAGGTTTTGTTTTGCTTTGTTTTTGTTTTTTTAAGAACAGAAAGGGCAGGCTCAGAACATAGAGACCCTGGTTCCCCTCAAGAGAACCATAGGCAGGAATTTGTTGACGTTGAATAAGCAACCTATGCCAGCAGTACATTTGTTCATTTATTAGCAAAGTCATGCTCAAGCCTTGCCCCGCTCTGACTGACTCTGGAAGGTGGCACCTGGTTGAGTCACATCACAGCCATGTGACACCCTAGGAATTGTATACCATTTGTTGCCATAGTAGAGCAATTTACAGCATCATAACCTGGGAGATGCCATTCTGGGGTCCTCTTAATTTAAGAGAGTGTTCATTAATTGGGAACCTACTATGTTCAGGTACTGCACACACAATACTGTCCACAGTTGACTACCCAGAAGGTAGTAGTATCCCCATTTACAGTTGAGGAAAATGAGCCTCAGGGAGGTTCGGTCACTTGGCCGAGGTCTCACCGGTAAAAAGCAAAGCCAAAATTTGAAACTTGGTCTACTTGAACTGCTGTCTTCTAAAATTAATCTGATTAGAGAATTCTAGAAAAGTCAGTGTATGTAGTTCTTCTGTAGCCAGTTTGGGTGGAATCTCCCTGATATTGTTATCGTGAGTAGTGCTTCATTCTGAAAAGCATATTTCACTAGGATTTCCTCTGTGGTGCTTAAAAACTTGAATTATGTATTGTAAAAACTAACACAAAGCCATAACTCCTAGACAGGTTAGAAAAATTACTTGATATTGCTGAAGTTCTAGACTCAAGCTCAAGTTAATTTCACTTGGTGCATCAGGTGATAGAGAGTAGGTAGGTACAGTCCAGTTTATTAATTATCTGAGAAAAATGCCATCAGCACAAAGTTAGAGACTTCCGTAGCTAGACTACACTGTCATTTAAGAAGAGATAACTTGTTAGGAAATTTCTCTTTGACTGCTTTTCTAGTCCATTTCCTCCCCCATGAGTCTATTTCTGCCTTTGTCTTTTTTCCCATGACATTTTTGTCTCTTTTTCTCTAGGAAACAATAAACATTAAAATACAAATATATTTTTATTGCTTTACTTCCTCCACCTATTCTCTAAACACAGCCTTCCAGATATGCTCACAAATTCATTCCCCCTGCTTTCAAAATGCACATATTATTTACTGGAAAACAGTATAAATACAATTTAATGACATACGCAGCATATATAATATAGAGCCATGTACTAAAAGATAACTCAAGTTCCTCCTCATGTTAAGGACTACATAAGTCAGAGGGTATACTTTTTAAATTTAAAAATGTAGATAAAATTTAGATAAACTGAAGAGTTTTGTCTTTTAATATAATCAATATAAATTATTTTAACTATGGTTGATATAAATCTATTGATTATTTATTTTTAAAATTTTTTGGTATATTATTGATTTCTATAAGTTTAAAGGCAAAGGTCTTGTCTATTAAATGCCCTACGGTACTGCCTGGCACAGGGCCGTGTGCTTCAGATGGATGATAGTAATTGAGCTGCTTTCTTTGCTCTTGCAAAGCAGTAATTTAAGTAACCTTTAAAAATAAAAATACACAGAATTTAAAAAACACATCTAGACTTCAAATATGACAATCTGAATATAATTCACTGTAATTTTTCTTATCCCACTGTATAAATAGGTATTAAATGTCAAATGCTAAGAATAATTGTTCTGCAATGTTAACCTCTAGCTCCCTGCCACAATGTAGTAATACTTTTCATTGTGCACCACATGTTGGACACTGCAGAGTCTAAAGAAGCCTAAAACAAGCCATTAAGAGGGAAACTAACAATTATATTAGTGAATAAGAACTGTTATCTAAATGCTTGGTGTGCGTAAGGCAGCAGTTTCAGGCATTATTTCATTTACTCCTCACAACCTTAAAAGAAGTGCTATTATCTTCATTTTATAAATGTGGAAACTGAGGTGTAGAGAAGTAAAGTTGTCCTTCTAAGGTCACACAGGCAGTCCTCAAGCAGTTCCCAAGCCATTGGCCACCATGCAATGTTTTCTCTTCCTTTGAGATTCTGGATACATCTGTTAACCAAGAAGAATTTATAAGAAGTTGAGCCCTCCTCTGAGGCTCGGTACAGTACACCATGAACATGATCCCACACAGGGAACCTGAATGCAGATTCCTCCAGCTCAGAAGTTATCCTTTCCCAGCTAACAGATGATGAGTCAGATGGTGTGTGTAGGGTATCTAATATGTGCCAATTTGGCCATGTAGACCTCAAAGATCACTATTTTTGCCTTAAACATCTGACAGTAAGAAAAAGAAATAATAGCTTTATTCACTGAGAGGCAGGCACTTTGCCAATAAAACTTAGTCTTTCAAAGGGAATAAATGTAAGGTTAGTTGAAAACCATGTTTACACCACATTGAGGTAAATGGACTTGCCAAAATTACATGAAAGTAGGAGTTTTAAAACTGCTTTTTAGCTTCACATTTACCAGAATACTTTACCATTTTTAAGGATTCATTTTACCTCTAAGATTAGGACTGGGGAGAATTATGGCCATAAATTGCTCCCGCAGCCTCTGAAGTTAATGTCACCACTGGCTTGAACAATAATTAAGAATTTTTTATTTACAATAAGCAGGCCCATTTATTTCTCTTTACCGACTACTACCAAGCCTTCAGAGTAGTTTTGACATCGCTGACAACCCAGATAGCCTACCAAATGGGAAACTGCATGAAAAAACTTCCCAATTTCCTCCACAAAATCAGCAAAGCTTGGTTGGGGAAGAGACAAGGCTTGTCAGGGGTAATAATCAAGTAAACATGGTATTTGCTAAGGATTTACCAAGAATTTCAGGTAGGAGCAAATGACCGTGTGGTGCCTGATCTACAAGTGGAACACTGACCAAATTTGACTTCTGGCCCCAGGGAATTTGTATTAATGTAATCTTTATTAAAAACAAACATGGTTTACATCAATATTTTCAATTCTCATTCAAGTTTAAAAAGAACTAAAGAACTATTTTTACTCATCATACAATAAATTTTTCCATGTTTTTCTAAGCCAAACTAGTAGAGGCTTTGGTTTGCAATTCCTGGTATTACTTGTGGATCCTATTTTTATCTAGGACTGCTGCTAACAATGCCAAAGTTGGTTCTGCAATTCATATTCCTTTTCCAGCATCCACAGGTCTGCCACATTGCTTAAGATGGGTTTCAGGGTGTTCTCATGAACATTTTTTCTACCCATTTATTTGTGGTTAACCCACTTGAGCTTGTCCTAAATGGTCTCATATCCAGCCCAGCAGATGTGAGTTCAGCAAGCAAGTCCTGATGAAAAGAACCTAGGAGATGCTGACTCTGATGACAAGCAAGACCTACAGACTTTAATGGCCTTAGAGCACCTTGCTGAGGACATGGGCTTTTATTCATAGTGAGATAGAAATCGATTGAAGGATTCTGCCATCTGGAGGATGGAAGTCATCTGGGAAAATGACAAATATGACATCATCTGGCTTACATTTTAACAGGATCACATAGGTTTAGGACACTATTGCGATAACCCAGACAAGAGGTGATGGTGGCTTGGAGCAATGTGGTAGCAGTGGAAGTGAGAAGAGGTGAGATTCTGGATTTTAAAATAAAGCTCTATTCTGCTTTTAAAAGCCTTCTACAAAGATGCCCCAGCCATTCTCAATAGCTATTCCAAATGCTAAATGCCAAGAAATTATTTCTACTGTCTGTTCTCAATTGTCTCTTTGGTTTTCAGTTATCATCAGTATCTCCATCTCCTTGTTTACATGTACTGCCCAAGAGAGAAGACAGCTCTCCAGTTAGGGTCTTGCTGATCTTAACATGTTGCAATATTATAATAAATTCAAGTCTTAAAATCTTTCACCTTTCAGTACCTGGTGTGCTAGACACAACTCTAGGTCAAATGGAACAATGTCTTATCAGAGAACAGAAATAATATCACTCAAAATTTTCAAACAACTTTTATCACAAGAGGCCTCAATATTCCTGAATCATTAAACTTAAACATTTAATGAGCTTCTATTATTTATCATGAGTTAGCTATCCATTGCTGCCTAACTACCCAAAAGCTTAATGGTTTAAAACAACACATTTTATTATCTCAGTTTGTGTGGTTCAGGAAATCAAACATGGTTTAGCTGGATGCTCTGCTTCATGATCTCTCACAAGGCTGAAATCAAAGTATTGACCAGGGCCCAGCTGGTGTGACTGAGCGGCTGAGTGTCGACCCATGCACCAAGAGGTTGCAGATTCGATTCCCAGTCAGGGCACATGCCCAGGTTTCAGGCTCTGTCCCAGTAGGGGGCATGCAGGAGGCAGCCAATCAGTGATTTTGTCTCACATGGATGTTTCTGTCTCTTTCTCCCTCTCCCTTTCTCTCTCTCTAAAAATCAATAAAAATATATTTTAAAAAAACAAACAAGTATTGACCAGGGCTCAGGGCTGTGGTTTCATCTGAAGGTTGAATGGAAAAAGGATTCCCTTCCAACCTCATATGGTTGTTGGCAGGATTTGATTCTTTAAGGACTGTTGGACTGAGGACCCAAGTTCCTTGCCAGTTACTGGTCAGAGGCCATCTTTAATTCCTGGGCATGTGAGCCTCTCCAGTATAGCACGTGGTATCATCAAAGCCAGCAAAAGAGAGTCTGATAGCAAAATGAAAGTCACAATTTCTGGTAACCTAGTTATGGAAGGGACATCCCATCACATTTGCTGCATTCTATTGTTAGAAGCAAGTCACTGGGTTCAGCCCATCCTCAAGGGGAAGGGTTTGTATAAGGGCATAAAAATCAGTAAAAGGGGATTATTAGATGCCATTTTAAAAGGTGCCTTCTACTTACCACTTATTTATGATATATCAGGCATTGTTCTAAGCCTCCCTCGTGAAGCTTCCATAGTAAGGAGGGAGCGAAAATGAAAAAAAAAAAAAAATCAGTAAAATGTACAATATGCCTATTGTTGGTAACTACCATTGAGAAAAAGCAGAGAATGGTGGTATTATTATTATTATTACCAACTTGAAAGCAGGGAGATGTTATTTTAAATATGTACAGAGCCAGAAAGGTCTCATGGCCATCCCAATATATTGACTTCACCCCAGTGGCTCCCCTACCCCATTTCACCCTACCTGCTAACATTGAGGATTCTAAGCAGGTGGAACAATGTAAATAAAACAGAACGGTACCACAAACAGGTAGCAGAGCATAATGGATAGAAGCATAGATTCTGGGGTGAATATGTTTATGTTTAATTCCTAGGAGTGTGACTGTGGGTAAGTTGTACCTCAGTTTCTTCATCTATAAAATGAAGATAATAATAGCTCATAGGGTCCTTGCCATTTAATACTTGTTAGAGCACCTAGAACAGTTCTTGCACATTGACACTAAAATACTAAGATACTATCAAGAAAAGAAAGCAAATTTAACAGAATAAAAAGGATACTAAAGAAGGAACTGCCAATACTATCTCATTAAAGAACATGGATTCTGAGCTGTAAAAAGTGGGGGGAAAATAAGCTTGAGTCTTTTTCTTAAGTAATATACTATGGGTTAAAAAATCATGAATAGTCCTGGCTGGTTTCTCTCAGTGGTTAGAGCATCAGCCCATGGACCAGAGTCGTGGGTTTGATTCTGGTCTAGGGCATATACCTCAGTTGCAATTCAGTACCCGGCCCTGGTTGGGGTCGCGTGGGAAGCAACCAATCGATATGTCTCTCTCACATCAATGTTTTTCTCTTTCTCTTTTTCCCTTCCTCCCACTCTGTCTGAAGATAAATGAAAAAATATCCTCGGTTGAGGATTAATAAATAAATAAATAAATAAATAAATAAATAACAGGAGTATTTTTATATTTGGAAGAATTTATCAAAAATTCAATTATTCTGTAACAAAAGGGGCATTATGGATACATGGATACCACCTTTCATAAATTTATTTTACTGTACACAGTTTAGAGCATTTTCTACTTATTCAGAAAGCTTCTGAGTCATGCTATTTCTCAAGTGTCAAATGAATCTGGACATTTTACTTGTTTCTTCTAGTTTCCTTTTGTGGGCACAGGTTTGTTTCTCTTTGCAGGCTACTTAAAATGGAATAAGACCTCTTCAGAATATTTTGCTAAGGATTAAGAGAAAGGGCAAGTATTATGCTAAAATATAAAATAAACACACTTCATTTTTTTTAAATCACGGCTTGAAGACAAACTTAGAGAGCAGGAGATAAATTAGGTGAGTCTTGATTTCCTATTAACTTGTGAAAAATCACCTGGACTCCTCTTCTGGAGGTGTTTCCTGTAGCAGCAGTGGTAGTACTATTGCTACTATTGCTGTTCCTAGGAGTCCAGTTACTGCTGCCCCCTGGGAAGAGTCAGGGTCTGATGGAGTAGGAACTACACCACAAGATTCAGGGAATAAGTGCGAGATGAGGAGCAAAGACAACAAGTCAGGACAACTCTTTCTTGAATTATGGCATCCACAGAAAGGAGAAATAAGATAACAGCTTGAGGGTCACCAAGGTCAAGAGCTTTTTGTTTGTCTTTATAGTGTGTAGAGACCTGAGCCTATTTGTTGGTCTGAGGAGAGGGATAAAATAAAGATGCTTCAGAGAGGCAATAATAATTAGTAGTGAAACCTTCTAAACTTTGGAAGGGAATGGGAGTAAACACAAAGAGGAGGTTTATTTGTTTCATTTCATTGTAGCTTCCTTTTTTAAAAGCTTGCTAGGGGATTCTAAGGTCAGGCAGGAGTGAACCCCCTTCCTCCTCTGATGACTGCGCCAACTGAGCAATGTTGCCTCTTGGCTTCTTGATTTCTCAGCTGCCTCCAGGAAGTTTTTCTGAACAGCTCAGCAACGAGTTGTTCCTTAAGAGTCACACACTTGATCCACCAGGCTTTGGTGGAATTTAGCACATGCTAAGCCTGTTCATACCCATGTTCTTTTTTTATTTTTAATAGGATTTAATCCAAATAAAGTTTATTACTTAAGTATGAAGAATGCAGTTGGGAAGAAACACTGCACTATGTTTGTTTGTTTTTGCATTTTATTTATTCATTTTTTTATTGTTGAAAGTATTACATATGTCTCCCTTTTTTCCCATTGATTCCCTCTTTCCTGCTCCCACCGCCCTCCTGCCTTCCCCAGCCTTGTGTCCCTGTAGATTGGTTGTACATATATGCATTTAAGTTCTTTGGTTTATCTCTTCCCTCCCCTCCCACCCCCATCCCTCTGAGGTTTGTCAGTCTGTTCCCCACTTCCATGATTCTGGATCTCTCTTGGTTGACAGCTTATGTTCTCTGCCTTTAGCTTTCCTTTTCCCCTTTAAAGCCGATGCTTCAATCACACAGGCGTAAGAATGTTAAGAGCAAAAAGGGGGGAGAGGAGAACTTGATAACCTAAATATTATTAATTTTTCTAGAGTTGAAGAAAGTTCCAAACAACATCCCTCCAGATATTGTTAAACTTGACTTGTCGTACAATAAAATCAATCAACTTCGACGCAAGGAGTTTGAAGATGTTCATGAGCTAAAGAAATTAAACCTGAGCAGCAATGGCATTGAATTCATCGATCCTGGTAAATACCTCAGAATAGCTCTTTAAACTGGTGACAGATGTTCTCTATTTTTCCTCCTATGGCAACATTTATAGTAAATACAATTTAGTTTAAAAAATTAAATAATAAAAAGTTTGAATTTAAATTAAATGTGATTAATTTAGAACTTTAATTAGTACTTGTTTAGATTAGATTAGATTAGAACTTTAACACTCAGAAATATTTGCCAAAACGTTGTTTCATGAAGTATGTAATACGATATATTACTAAGCAATAGTTATTTAATTGGTCCAAATAAGAGTATTTTATAGAATACAATAAAAAAAAAAAAAAAAGAATATATGGCTAGTGGTTAATAAAATTCTAAACGTGATTTTTAAAAGGAAATCCAGATTTGGCATTTTCTTTGCTATTCATGAAGTTGCAACTTGCTTAAAGTAGGACTTTAACAATTTGTTTAAAGTAAACTTGAAACAATCTGCTAAGAACCAAATTCATAAATTAAGATAAAATGTCCTCAATACAGAGCCAGTCATATGTTATGTAATCCTAGATCAAGATCAGCTCTCTTTCCCATCTTTCAAATCTCTTCTCCATTTTCTAAGCAAAGCCTCTGGCAAAAACAAGAGTGGTAAATTACATCTGGATTTAGAAAGAACTGAGAATTACTGCAATATTAATCAGATTTGTAACATACGTATTATATGTGCCTTCACAGTGCTATTTCAATTTGAAAAGTGCTGTCTACAAAAAATGATCATTAATACTATGAATAATGCAATGTTAATGTCATAAACATTTTGAGTATAATTGTTTCTTCTGCTTTTCTTAATAGTAACTTAATACCATTAATAGAACGTTAAGATTTTAATACTGTAGAAGTGAAAATTGAAAATGAATGTTCTAGCCCTGGCCGGTTTGGCTCAGCGGTTGGAGCGTCGGCCTGCGGTACAGAGAGACCCAGGTTCGGTTCCCGCTAAGGGCACGTACTTCGGATGCAGTTTGTCCCCGGCCCTGGTTGGTCGTGCGGGTGGCAGCCACTCGATGTGTCCCTTCACGTCGATGTTTCTCTCTCTCTCTCTTCCTCTCTCTCCCTCCCGCTTTATCTGAACAAAAAATGGAAAAATGTCCTCGGGTGAGGATAAAAAAAAAAAAAAAAAAAAAGAAAAGAAAATGAATGTTCTAGAACTACACAGGCATATTTTAGTATTAATAACATTGTTTTAAAATATTAAGAAATCGTCATTTTTAAAAATGTCCCAAAGGAATAGCAATATGCTACATTTATACCTTAGTCTGTACAGATAGTGTAAACTTGGAAGTATCTTTCAATTGTGAGGTCAAAAGCAATTTTCATTTCACAGTAAATAACAATGCTACAGAGACATCCTTCTCCCAGATGAAGCAATCATCGTACTACTGTGCAGGTCAGCAGGCCACAGAGTGAAGAATCTGGAGGTGGGGACCCTCTTTTGCTCCATAAGAAAAAAAGAGCATCAAGACAAGCATGCAGGTCCCTGGGCAAGTGTCTATGTCCTTCTGACCTTAGCCAACCAACTATGAAAAGCATCCATGCAAACAAGTTTTAGAACTATCTCCAAAAGAAACTAAAATGTTAGAGCCTAAGTTAAATTTATTCAAGTAGTGAATAATAGTGCAAACAATATTTTAATTATAATAAAACTACATTATGTAAAGACAACTAGAGAAAAATAAGAGAAGACAATGCATAGAGATAGATAATAGTACAAAATGGGTTTGTTTTACTTCTAGTGATATTTTCCCCTTATCAGTTATGAAGTTCCCATAACTGGGAGGATTCCTTTTTTATCCTTGGAATCTCTAAAAGCCTTTTAATGTTGTTTACCGGTGTGTTTTCCTTGCTGACACACAATGTAAATTGTTAGCAGCAGCAGTATTCTTTTTCTCCTTTGTTCAATTCAGTCCCAGGAAAGTATTTTTTACGTTAACAAATGTGTATTGAATGCCTACCAAATGCCAACCACTTGTCTTGGTATATCTTCTTGAATAAAAACATATCTCAGCACTTAAGTAAAAATGACCTAAAAAAGTTTTAAAATAAAAGACCTTCTATATTTTGGGGCCTTTAAGAAGAAACACTGCCAAAGTAGACTTACTTAATGACATGCTGGTAGATACACAAATGCAATAAGATCTGCCAGTGTTTAAAAGGTATGAATAACACTTTCATGAAAGTCCAGATATTACTGCAAAAAAAACGGAAAAGAAGGCAACCTACTAGGGGTTCTACCACCTTTAAGAAACAAATGAGCCCTGGCTGGTTTGACTCAGCGGTTAGAGGGTCAGCTTGCAGTCCAGAGAGACCCGGGTTCGGCTCCTGCTAAGGGCACGTACCTCGGTTGCAGTGTGTCCCTGGCCCTGGTTGGGTTGTGCGGGTGGCAACCGCTCAATGTGTCCCTTTCACGTCAATGTTTCTCTCTCTCTCTCTCTCCCTCCCACTCTATCTGAACAAAATAAAATAAAATAAAATAAAATAAAATAAAATAAAATAAAATAAAATAAAATAAAATAAAATAAAATAAAACAAAAACAAATGAAATATAGCTTTTCAAGGTGCCTGGATACATATGGTTTAAGTAACAACTATAGTGCTTTCAAAATAAAATCTAGGAATGTTTACACATGCTTTCAATCTGGAGGGCTGACTTGTCTTAAGAAAAGTAAATTGTTGAGATCACTGACTCACAAATGCTAGCAGATAAAAAAAACATGCAGTATCTTCAGAACTATCATTACAAGAGCTGACCTTTTGCTCCTCCCCACCGCCTGCTCTCCCCAAGTTATTTGCTTTGCACCAAAATAGGATTATTTTAGGGGGAATTAAAGGTTTTGTCTGAAAACAAATGACATGAAAATGCTTGATGGTATTGGTACAAGAACATGTTTGCCAAATTCAAAATAAGAATACTTTATGCTCCAACAAGAGTATTTTAAAACAGCAATGAGAAAATGTTTGAAATAGAAACAAAATATTTGAAATTAGGATTGACTGATGAATTCTAGGGTATTTGGTCAGTCCACATCAACCACAATGTAGATAATCTAGGTTTAGATTTCTTTACTCCAAAAAAAAAAGGCTTTTTGCTGTCTTATTTTCTGTTATATCTTTTATATTTGTTTTAATTATCCACCACCCCTGCCACAGAATTAAATACATATGGATTCAAAGCTGATAGCTGCCATAATTTGCCAGAACACAACCAGATGTTTTTAAATTGTTGATAAAATTGTTTTCTTTTTGGATTTTACAGGAATATAAGTCCCTCCTCCTAAACTGGGGAAAGGCTGTGTTTTGGCATTTTCAGAGTTTATTGATATCCCAGGGAGCTGTCAAATCATCCACCAGACACATTTTCACTTTTTATGTACTTATATCTTATATTTGAAATATTTTCCTAATTCATACCTTTTTTGTGGCATCTTTCCAGTGGGTATAAAAAAGAAATGCATGAGTCCAAAATACATCTTTTAGAAAGCTAACTGAAAACTGATTTTGCATATAAAATATTGTGTTCCAGTCAGTTTAATCAAGGGGAAAGCTTTGTGTGGGGAAAAACATATTTCAGAACTTCTCCTTTAGAAGGGAAATACAATTAAAACCAAAATATTCTCCTGACACAGAAATCCTCTCCACAAAGACAGTAGAGAAAGAAAAGACATTTGTATCGAATTAGCATGAAACCAGAACGGGATGCACACAACAGGCATCCGCTCTGAGATGGGGAAGGCAGGAAGAAGTCTCACGTTTCACATAGCCAAGCAGATGCAAACCGATGCTTATTTCCAGGACAAGTGATAACCAGTCCTTAAGCAAGAGAACTTGACAGCAGCATTGGTCACACGCACTTCACCCTAACTTTACCTGGTAATTGAGTTGACCAACTGTGTTAGTGAATTGGCTTTATCAAGAGGAAAACAATTTTTTATCTTTACAACAAGAGATAGTTTGCAACTTGGAGCAAGGCTCCTACCTTTCTTGATGATTTCAGTTCAAGGAGAGGGCTGCTAGGTTCTTGAGAAAGACATTTCTGGTTCATAAAGCTGACAAAAGGCCTTAGTCTTCTAAAGGATATGTATACATTTCAAAGATAGGAGAAAGTACTTAACAGGTGCATTGTCTCTTATTTTTTATTTATATTTGTCCTTATAAACACCATATAGTTGCATTTAACCCAAATACTCATTGTTTTAATAAATATTTTCTATTTGTAGCTGCTTTTCTAGGACTCACACATTTAGAAGAGTTAGATTTATCAAACAACAGCCTGCAAAACTTTGACTATGGAGTATTAGAAGACTTGTACTTTTTGAAACTCTTATGGCTCAGAGATAACCCTTGGAGATGTGACTACAACATCCACTACCTCTACTACTGGTTAAAGCACCATTACAACGTCCACTATACTGGCTTGGAATGCAAAACGCCTGAAGAATACAAGGGGTGGTTTGTGGGAAAATATGTTCGGAGTTACTATGAAGAATGTCCCAAAGACAAATTACCAGTATACCCTGAAACATTTGACCAGGATACAGAAGATGATGAATGGGAAAAAATACATAAGGATCACACAGCAAAGAAGCAAAGTGTAAGAATCACTATAGTGGGATAATTTGGAAATTCTATTGCAACTAGTTATATATTTGCTATACTGGTGTCAGAAAACAATATGTTTACATTTCAATTAACTGTGTTGCCTATTTATGCAGGGTTATCCAACCAAAGGAAGGTTTCTTTAATTATTTTGATTATTATAGTAATCAAGGGAATACTCTCATCCTGTTTGCCTGCCTATTTGCAGAACAGTGTTTGGTGACGATTCCGTGGTAGTAACCTGCAGAAGCTGGGTCCTAACAATGGCATTAGAATTTCTTAATGTCCTGTATAGATGTTTTACTACTTTTTGAAAATAATTTTTAAATGTTCATTTTATATGTCTTTTGATAGCTGCATGGACATACCTAAACTTGATCAAAATGAAAAGATACAAATGCTTAGTAATAATAAAATGTCATTCTCTCCCCTTGATCCCCACCCCCACTTTTTTTTTTCAGTAGGTCAGTTTACACGTTGAATAAATTTCCATTTCTTATTCTTGTGAATTTTATAATGAGGTCCTAGTAAACCCAAATTCTCAACTACTCTTCATTGATTCTTACAAAACCATCAAGCTAAACCTGAAGAAGAACTGTCACAAGCAATAGTAGAGAATCTGAGAATTATTTTGGAGGCTGATCAGAAAATGGTACTCTAAGGAGTTACAGATGATGTGAATCATGAGCCCTGAAGAATATTGTGAACATGAAAACAGAACTAGTTTTTCAATAGCATTCAGACTAGGAAGCCATCTGTTAGGGGGGAAGGGCCTGAGCCCTTCCTGCTAACTAATATTTCAAGGAGCATAAAACAAAAGATGAATTTAGGATTTAGTGTCAGGATTTGGGATAAAGCAGAAACAAAAAAAGAAAAAGTCACATCAAAGGAAATGAGGGAGAGGTCGGTACCTAAGAGATGCCCTATCATTTGGGTTTGCAGGTTAAAATGAGCTCACTTAGAGAAACAGATCACCAAAAAAAGAAAAAATACCTGGAAACTGACCCCATGAGTTTACCTTTTGATAGTTAGCTGTACTATTAGAAAGAAAAGTAGCCCTGGCCGGTTTGGCTCAGCAGTTAGAGCATCGGCCTGTGGTCCAGAGAAAAAAAAGTAAAATGAAAGAAATATGTACATATCCCTAAAAGTACCACCTTTTCCTTTTTTTTTTTTTTTACAGCTTTCTTATTCACATGGAGTTGAATACATTTTTATTTCTCATATCAAAGTATTTCTAAAAAGTTTATCAACTGGTCTTTTTTTTTAATCAACCTCACCCGAGGGCACTTTTCCACCCCTTGTCCAGGTAGAGTGGGATTGAGAGAGAGGAACAGAGAGAAACATCGATGTGAAAGGGACACATCGAGTGGCTGCCACCCACACAGCCAACCAGGGCCGGGGACAAACTGCAACCGAGGTACGTGCCCTTAGCGGGAACCGAACCCGGGTCTCTCGGGACCGCAGGCCGACGCTCCAACCGCTGAGCCAAACTGGCCAGGGCTATCAACTGGTCTTATTTGATACTTGCACAAATGCCCAAAGCACAGAAAATGGTATAGGACAAACAGTAATGAGCATTTCTTAAACAACTCCTAGATGCCAGACACTGTGTTAAGAGCTTCACATATTCTATTTCTAATTCATAAAATATTCCTTTGAGGTAGGTGATAGTATCTGCATTTTCTAATGAGAAACACCAGGCTTAGAGTTTAGGTAACTTGGACAAAGTCACAGTGCTGACAGGCGGCAGAGCAGGATTCAGGTCCCCCTAAGCCCTTTCTGCTGTGCAGGGCTGCAGAGTGCTCTTTATTATTATTTTTTTTAATTACAGCTGACATCCAATATTATTTTGTATTAGTTTCCAGTGTATAGTACAGTGGTCAGACAATCATAACCTTCACGAAGTGCTCCCCCTGATATGTCCATTACCCATCTAACACCATGTATAGATATTACAATATTTTTGACTATATTCTCTATGCTGTGCTTTACATCCTCATAACTATTTTGTAACAACAAATTTGTACTTCTTAATTCCTTCACTTTTTTCACTGAGTACCTCTGGCAACCATTAGTCTGTTCTCTGTATCTATGAGTCTGTTTTTGTTCTGTTTGTTCATTTATATTACTCTTCAGGTTCCACATATAAGTGAAATAATGTGGTATTTGTCTTTCTCTGACAGACTTATTTCACTTAGCATAATACTCTCTAGGTCCATCCATGTTGTCACAAATAGTAAGATTTCATTCTTTTTTATGGCTGAGCAATTATTCCATTGTATATATGTACCATTACTTTTTTTTTATTCACTCGTCTATTGATGGGCACTTGGGTTGCTTCCATATCTTGGCTACTATTCTAAATAATGCTGAAATGAACATAGGATTACATATATATTTTCAAATTAGTGTTTTGGGTTTCTTCAGATATATACCCAGAAGTAGAATCACTGGGTCATAAGCAGTTCTATTTTTAATTTTTTGAGAACCCTTCATACTGTTTTCTATAGTGGTGGCACCATTCTGCAATCCTACCAACAGCGCATGAAGGTCCCTTTTCCTCCACATCCTCACCAACACGTTGTTTATCAATTTACTGATGATAGCCATTCTAGCAGGTGTGAGGTGATATTTCATTGTGATGTTAATTTGCATTTCTCTGATGATTATTGACAGTTGAGTATCTTTTCATATGTCTATTGGCCATCTGTATGTCCTCTTTGGAGAAGTGTCTATTCGGGTCCTCTGCCCATTTCTAAATTGAATTTTTGTTTTTTGGTGTTAAGTTGTATGAGTTCTTTATAAATATTGGATATTAATACCTTATGAGATGTATCATTGGCAAATATCTTTCTTCATTAAGTAGGCTGTATTTTTTTAAAATATGTTTTTATTGATCTTTTAGAGAAAGAGAGAGAGAAAGGGAGAGAGAGATAGAAATATCCATGTGAGAGAGAAACATCGATCAGCTGCCTCCTTCACACCCCCTACTGGGGATCGAGCCTGCAACCCTGGCATGTATCCTGACCTGGAATCCAATTGGGACCGCTCAGTCCATGGGACAACACTCAGTGCACTGAGCCACACTGGCTGGACCAGTAGGTTGTCTTTTTGTTTTGTTTATGGTTTCCTTTGCAGTGCAAAAACTTTTTAGTTTGATGTAGTCCCATTTATTTCTTTTTCCTTTTGTTTCCCATGCCTGAGGAGATATATCAGAATGAATACTGTGCAGAGCACTCTTGACTATGCTGCCTTGCTTCAAACTTTGAGAACCAGACCCTAAAGAGGAATAATAGATATCAGGAAAGTTAAGCTGTTCTCTCTAAAAACACCCATGTGGTCATTTGGCAGGAAAGAGTCTTTGGCCAAGTCATTTAAATCTGTATTAAGAGGGCTATTTGTTTGTCTTGGAGCATTGGTCTGAGACGCAGACTTCAGGTTTGGCACACCTAGGGGCCTACAAAGCTGCTCTCAGGGAATATAACCCTGTGGATGCCATCTTTGCACTTTCCCCCTGCTTTGCTACAGCTCACTGGTATCTCTCAGAAAAGAAGTTATACATTTTTCTGAAGCCTCTATTTTTCAAAAGCTGTCCAGTGGACACCTCCATATTGCCTGGCTCTGGTGGCCTTTGGAGCTTACATTTGTGTTCCCACAGGACTGTATATACTTGTATATTTGAAAAAATGCTGCCTGAGGTCTAATTTCCAATCAGCCTGAACCCAGGTGTTGACTGAGATCTGACCTTTTGGGACACTGACAGGTCACTTGGCACATCTCAAACTACTGGGAGGTATTAAAAATATAATAGGCTGCTTGGACAATCACAAAGATTTGAGAGACAACCAAGAGCTAAAGAAGGGTTGAACAACAAGATTCATTTCCTACACAAGGCTACTCCTTCAAGACTGGGAGAGGTGGTTGTTGCATTTAATAGATAGACACCAGCACAGAGAATCAAGCCAAATGAAGAAACAGAGAAATATGTTCAAAATGAAAGAACAAGATAAAACCTTGGGGAAAAAAACCTTAATGAAATGTAGACAAGTAACTGACCTGATAAATAGCTTAAAATAATAGTATAAGGATGCTCATTGAACTTGGGAGAAGAATGGATGGACACACTGAGAACTTCAACAAAGAGATAGAGAAATAATAAAGTACCAAATCGAAGTCACAGAGTTGAAGAATACAAAACTGAACTGAAAAATACACTAGAGAGGGTCAAAGAAGACTAGAGAAGCAGAAGAAAGCACCAGTGAACTCAAAGGCAAGGCAGTGGAACTGAATAAAAGCAGCAAAAAAAAAAAGTATAAAAATAAGTGAATATAGCTAAATGACTTATGGGACAACATCAAACACATTAACATTTACAGTATAGGAGAAAGAGAAGAGAGAAGAAGGAACAAAAAGATCTATTTGAGGAAAAGAAGCCCAGAGAGTTCCAAATAAGATGAAAACAAAGAGACACACACCAAGATACATTATAATTAAAATGTCAAAAGTTAAAGACAAGGAGAGAATTTTAAAAGCAGCAAGAGGAAAACAACTTGTTATGTACAATGGAACCCCCCTAATATTATCAACAGATTTTTAAGTAGAAACTTTGCAGGCCACAAGGAAGTAACACAGTGTTACACAGTATTTTCAAAGTGCTGAAAGAAACAACTTCCAACCAAGAATACTCTACTCAGCCAAGTTATTCAGAATTGAAGAAGAGTTTTCCAGATAGGCAAAAGCTAAAGGTGTTTATCATCACAAAACCATCCTTACCCAAAATGTTAAAGGGACTTTAAGCTGAAAAGAAAAGGCAATAATTGTAACAAGAGAAGGAGTTCAAGATGGTGGCACAGGAAGTCCCTGAACATACCTCCTCCCATGAACACATCAAATCTATACTAAGATAGAGCAATTCCCCCTGAAGAATTATTGAGGACTGACTGAACAGCTTCCACTGGTCACCAGAGCCAGACAAATATGGAGGTGTCCACTGAACTCACACACACATAAAAGACTACAAAAATAAATAAATAAATAAATAAATAAATAAATAAATAAATAAATAAATAAAAGAGAGATCACATTGAAATAAGTGTGAGAGATGGAGACACAGTATTGTGGTAATCTCAC